AGTGGCGGTGGCAGTAGCAGCAGCAGAGCAGTAGAGCAGTTGATCAGTAGAAGCAAAAGAAGCAGCAGTAGCAACAGCAGCAGCAGTAACAGCAGGAGCAGCATGAGCAGCAGTAACAGTAGCAGCAGTAGCAGTCGCAGCCGTAGCAGCAGCGGCAAGCCGCGGCAAGCAGCGGCAAGCAGCGGCAAGCAGCGGCGGCGGCGGCAGCAGCAGCAGCAGCGTAGCAGTAGCCGGCAGCAGCAGGTGCTAGACATCGTGCACCAGCAGTGGTCCTACTCGCCATCACAACAAGCGTATTCGCGTCAACCGAGCACGCCTCCCCTGCCATCCAGGAATGCTCTCAATGATGGCGGGTCCGTGGAAGGCTGCGTTCGTGGGCTTGAGTGCGATGGCATCCCGCGACCTGCAACATCGGTGGAGATCTTAAGCAACACGCAAGGCCGGGGGTTTACGATTTGGTGTGTAGGTCTGGGGTTTGAGGCTTCAGATTCGGGTTGGTGACGTGATTAGCATTCAGTGGTTGGGGCTTGGGGATCAAGGCCTAGAGAGGGGTGTGTGGGTTTAGGTTCAAGGAACATGAAGCAGCCATGCTTGGTCTTACTTGCAGAAAGTTTAGGCTTCATGGCCTTTTACACTTGCTGGGATTGAGCCGACGGTCGGCGACTTGGCTTTTTATGATCGACAGTGAGTGGCATGCCTCCCCAAAGGAAAGTGCAGAAAGGCAGATCGTCATATGCAAGGGTTGAGGCCTTGGGGTTTTGGGTTTACGGCATGGGCTTGGAGTTGATCAAGATCTTGAGGAGAGTGAGATGCGAGCCCTGAACCTGAACCACGAACACTAGTAGCTTAAACCTCAAATCGTCAGCACACCCTGAAGTTCATCGCATTGTCGGGTTAGGCGCTTGGTGTTTAGGGCCTGAGCGGCAGCCTGCATTGAAAGCTCGGCAGGATTTGGCACTGGGGACTACACCAAGGGTGCCAAGCCAAACACGTGGACTCTCGATGAGAACTGCAGCTTGGCCCTCGCTTGAAAAATGCATTTGGGTGATAGGGCATATTTCGGATTACGTCGCAATCTGGTTAGTTCTTGTTTCAACACTTTCGTGGGTGCGAGGTTTGCAGATGTTGTAGCTTTTTTGGCAGGGGTTTGTTCTACAGGGGCCGATCTGCAGGGAGTCTGTGCTGCTTAGGGGGTTTATTAATCTAGATTAAGTGGCTCTCCCTCTTTGCGGAAACAAGCTCGGGGGAGTTGACTCGTCTTCAGAGGGTTTTGATCAGGGTTCAGGGTTGAGAGTGTAAGGTTTTGGTTTAGGGGTTGGGGTGGCGGCATTAATGTTTTCAGATTTAGGGCTGAGGGTTGAGGATTGGGATGTCTGGCCTCAGGGTCTGAAGTTCTAGGAGTCTTTGGGTGTGAAGCCGTTTTCCTTCGCGAGGCATGTGCGCTAAACGAGAGGGGGACTGACGATCAAATCCAACCTGCCGGTTTACTGAACCACAAAAACGTACTACCCCCAAATCCTCGTTTCGTAATTCTCAAGAAACCAACTTCCTGGACCAAGGTGAGGTGGTAGCATTCAACTTCTTTTCCATCGGTGCCCCACCCTCGGTGCACAAAGCGACGCTGCCGCATGGCAGCTCTTGGAAGCTCGTTTAGGGTCTGTTTTCATCGCATTTTTGGTCTGGGGTCAGTGAGTAGGGTTTTTTCCATCACAAGCGAATGGAAGAAAGAAAGAAAGAGCGAATGAATGAATAAATGAATGAGTGAAAGAATGAGCGCATCGAGGATCTCATGACATCATGAAGGAAGGAACGTTTGAACGAATGAATGCATGAATGAAAGGTTGATGAGACAATGGGCGAAAGAGCAACCGAATGAATGACCGAATGAATGTATGCCAAGGCATGCCCACGTATGTGTGAGTATGTGTGGGTATGATTGCGTATGATTGCGTATGGTTGTGTTCGATTGCGTATGAACGCATGCATGCATGCATGCAGGTATGTATGTATGTACGTATGTATGTTTTTGTATGTATGTATGTATGTATGTATGTATGTATGTATGTATGTATGTATGTACGTGGGTATGTATATATGTATGTATGTATGTATGTATGTATGTAGGTAGGTAGGTAGGTAGGTAGGTAGGTAGGTATGTATGTAGGTTTGTATGCGCACATGTAAGTATGCATACATTCATGCTTTTCTGTCTTTCTGTCTGCCTGCGTGTCTGGTCTGCCTGTCCGTCTTTCTCTCTGTCTCTGTCTCTGTCTCCGGCTCTGTCTCTGTTCCGTCTGTCTGTCTGTGTCTGTCTGTACGGATGCATGTATGTGCATTCCTGCATGCATGCACGCGTACAGACATACATGGATCCTCGCATGCATGCATGCATGCATGCATGCATGCATGCGTGCACTCATACATACATAGGTCCATGCTCACAACCATGCCACGCCATTCCATGCCGTGGTCTTCCATGAAATTCCTTCTCGCTGCATTACATTAAACTACAGTACGTTGAACTACATCACACTAAGCTACATTACATTATATTGCATTCCGCTGCATTGGCATGTGCGTGAACATTCAGCGAGTCTTGCATTACACAACGTTGCAGCAAATTATGTGACATCACTTAGCAGGTTCTACGTTACGTTACATGTGCAACACATGACATGACGGTACATGTCATCTGCGTTAGATAAACATGCGTGGCATGACATTACACCACGTGTCATTTGACAAGACATGAAATCACGTTACATAACATCGCAGTACAGTACATTACATTGCACTACAGTACCGTACCCTCATGGCATGGCATCACAGTACAGTACGCTAAGTTTCGCTACATAGCATCACATGACATTACATTACATCACATGCCATGGCATAACAGTACATCGCATTACAGTACAATACAGTACATCACATGACATTACACCACACTGCGCGACCTTAGATTGTACTACATTGCGTTATGCCACAATACAGTACACTACATGACGTTGCGCCACCTGATCTTACTGTGCGTGACATGACATCAGGTGGTATGACATGGGATGGCATAACATGACATAACTGGACATGGCGTTACACAGGATGACATAACATGAGATTGGGTTGCACTGCAGTATATTACACCATACTTTACTTTATGCTACACCGTAGAACAGGTTACAATGCACCACGCCACATCACAGTGTAATACCTCACTTCAGATAACCTCTGCTGAGACGACATGAGCCCTAGTCTTCAACCCTGGGACGCCTCAAGCCAGGTTCTTCAACTCTGCGGAGGACCAGGGAGCCAGCTTTCGCGCTGGGGTCGCTTCAGGTTTGACTGTAAGGACAGGGTCCATCGACGTGAGCATGGCAGATGTTGGTTTGAAGTTCGAACAGGTCCAGTGAGTGCGGTACGCACCGTGAAATCAGAGCGGGCTTGCACCGGCAGACTTCAATCCTAAAGCCCGGAAGGCCAAGAAAGATTTAGTTTTGGTAGACATGCACAGGCTGCCACCGGCTGGGAAAGCCCAGTTACGGAGGCATCTCTTTTCCCCTGGGTCCAGGTTGGTCGGAGCAAAATTTCTCTCGAGCCTACGCGCCTTAAGCCGTAGCCCACTGCTTTCTCCATCTCCAGAGCTGACCCAGCTTAATGAAGCCGACACCTTGCAAAGCAAAGGTGGCTTCCAAAGACGCTTTAAGCATTGGACTCCAGGCTCATGCGCCCGAAATCCCAGTGCGAGTCAGGGCCGGAATTGTAGGGTTGGTGGCTTCTAGATTGTCCTTTGAAGCTCCGAACCTTTGTAGCCGCAACCCCCACCCCTCATAGACCCCTCCGGGTTCAAGGGTGGTGGTATTATTTGGGCATTTCTTCTACACAAGGAAAGTGGACAACCACATGCCCAGCCGCCCCGATAAACAATACCCAACTAATCTGGCGGCCGAGTTCAAGCCAAAGCAGAGATCCCTAAACCCTAAGCCCTAAACCCTCAAGCCTGAGGCGCTCAGGCGCCTTGGGGGTCCAAGCTTTCGTCAGCCTCTGACGCCAGGTGCCCGGCGGCTCTCTGATGCGACCTTCGCAACTCAGAGCTGAGGGAGTGTTAGTGTCTGTGGCTACCTTTTGAGCCCTGAACCACTAACCGCTCACCCTAAACCCTTGAACCCTCAGGGTGGGATGGGTTAGGGCTGCAGGGCTGAGAGCAAAGGCCTAGTTTTGCTTGAGGTCTGGGCTCGTCGTGGTGGTCTTGATTCCCGCAAGGTGTACTATCGGCACCCTGAAGCACAGATGTCCCGAAATCTCAAATCTCGCTGGGCTGCGCACCTCGAGCATACTGTAGACTGTAGACATCACAGGCAGCTAAGTCCGGCTCTCAATGCTTCATCAACTGCAGCTTGCACAGTTAAAATTCCAGACCCAAGTGTTAAATCCCCAAAACCCTAAACGCAAAGCCCTACATTTGGACCGGAAGGCCCAACAGTACTAGAGACCCAAACCTGCACAACACTAAGCCCTAAAATCGTAAACCTCTATAAATCGCGACCTGAAGAGTTCCTCTGAGCGAGCGCCTAGGGGCTCTCGAGAGAAGCGCGGATAAGCCCAACAAGCACAACAAAACCCTGTTACCCAAGAAGAGTCCATGCAGGCCGAGGAGGAGGTTGAAGAGTTCAAGAAGCCACCTCTGCCGCTCGGTTCGTGTTGGACTTAGGGGGGGCTTTAGGTTTAGGGCTTGAGTCTTTAGGACCATACTGTAGTGATCCAGGGATGTTCAGGGTTTGAGGCTTGTGGAGCTTTTGCTATGGGGCCTGCAGGGTTTCGGATTTGAGATTTGTTGTAGCGGCGTTCAGGATCTCACTTTTTGGCACATTTGGGAGGTCCTGGGTTCTTCCGAGTTACAGCAGTTACTCAAGGCACGTCGAGGCGCCTCACGGTAGGTTGAATCGGGTTTCGGGTTGCGGGGCCCCAAACCCCAAATCAACGAAGCCTCGAAACACTCAGCGCCGACTCTCGGCTTTGGGGCCCAACAAATATCTTTCACCTGAAACGTGCTACTTCCTGGAGCCCTAAACCCGCAAAGCCCTGAAAACCAGAGGAATGCCATGCTGAACAGCTTCGACTTCGAGAGCGTAGCCCGCGAGGCCCGGCATTTCGACTTGACAAGATCCGGATGTCTCTATTATACGACGACGACGACGACTACTACTACTACTACTGCTACTACTACTGCTACTACTACTGCTACAACAACAACAACAACTACAACAACAACAACAACAACAACAACAACAACAACAACCACAACAACAACAACAACAACAACAACAACAACAACTACTACTACTACTGCTACTACTCCCACTACGAATACTAGTATACTACCATGCTACATGACTTGGGTTTGAAGGTCTCACGGTTGTAGGATGTTGCAGGGTTTTTAGGGCTTTAAGGTTTACGGCTGAGGACTAAAAGCTCAGAGCTTCAGGGTTTGTTTAGGGGTCTAGTCGTCTCGTCTTGGAGTTGAAGGGGTGTAGGGATGTAGCGCAGGGGCTTTGGGGTTTGTAGTTAGTGTGGCGTCGCTGTACAGTAGAGGAGTTTCGTCGTTTCCAGGATTTGGATTTAGTTTCTTTAGAGAGGGATGTTTCAATCATTGGGTGTGGGGTGGGTTCTGCTGCTCATGGAAAGGGCACTGTCGCGTTGGTGGAATCAAGCCGCCCGCCTGTAAACTGCCCTAAACTGCAGAACCTCGAAGCCTCAAGCCCACTTTCGGAGACTGGAGCCCTCTGACCGCAGGTCATGGAGCCGCAAGCCTGGGGATACTACTCCTCGGGCGGCGATGACGAGATCACGCTTCGGGACAACCACCTCGTTCCTGGGACACGAACCCTGAACCTCTGAATCCTGTAACTAAACCCCCTGAAATCACGAAACATTCTAACTCCAGAGATTCAGACCCGAAGACCCGAAGTTCAGGCTGTCGGTTTGGAAATCAGGGTCTGCCTTTTGCTGCTATTGCAGAAAAGGCCCTTTACTCAGAGACTCCAAAATCCATGAACGAAGGGGCCAGCCTTATATCATACGAAGGGTCCCAGCTTGGGTGCATTCCTTAATGGGGGTGTTCAGTCTCGGGATATTTGTGGTTAGTTTGGGTGGCAGCCCCCAAGTAGAGTGCTACGTCAGGTTTCAGGGAAACAGTAGACCCCTGGTTTGCACACTCACTTTGTCGCGATGACCTTCAAAGAGTTGCACAAGAAGACGAAGGGAACCTGATAGTTCCTCAGCTCTAATCTCATGTCTCCGTTTAGAAGAGGGGATGATACTCTACCTTGAACTTGTCCTGGGGCTTGTGTCCGGCTCGTGGTTGCTAATGGATGTACATGGAGTTGGCAGCCATGTGGCTTCCACCATCCTGCGGCGTGTTCTGTTTTGCCGCGCTGCGAGCATCGACTTCAAGTTGCCAAGGGCTCAAAGCTCGATCAGTCACGACCAGTCGCTCTGAAGCTTCCGTGCTCCATCACGGTGTACAGCAGCCATGGAGTTCGGTATCTCAGACCTCGCGAAACTGTGCAAGAAAGCGGTGGCAATGGCGGAGGAGAAAACACAGGGCTTGGTAGGCAAGCTCGTCGCCAAATCAAGTCACCTGGCGGACGGTGCGATTGATTTTATGGGAGAGTTCGTCGACGGGGTAAAAATTTTTGGATGCCCTTCGCGACCACAGCTCGCAACTGGAATCTGCCACTCGGAGCTGCACGGAAGGCGAGGATGATCGACCTTCGAGCCTGAGCAATGTGCACCATGTTGAGATGCCGTTGGGCACCCAGCACCAAATGCACCAATTCTTACACCAGGTCCTGTAAGGGGAGTCTTTTCTCAACAGCTACCCCGCAGGCTCAGAGTCGTTGAAAACTCAACCGGCTTGATTCTCCCCTAGAGACCCTAGGCTCAGGTTCCGGCCTAGCCAAGGAGTGCCTCAGCGATCATCCTGAACGGATCAGCTTGCCTGTGTTCTTGCAGCTGCCCGCTTGGAGATGGCAAAGCCTCTCTAACGTCGAACTCCGCCTTGAACTTTGCACAGGAAGTCCAAAATCTGCGAGCTCACCAAAGTGACTCACGGCATGCATATTTCCACGCCTTGAAAACGTAACCAGCACCTTAAATCCCAGGTTTCCTCCAAGCCCCAAGCCCTACCTGGACCCTGGGCCCTGAACCCAACCCTCAATCCTCAACCTGAAGCCCTAAACCTTAAGTTCAGGATTGAGCCCTTAACCCTCAAGCCTCAGCGGAGCCCATCGTCACTTGGGCAACCCTGCGCTGATACTCATACCAAAAGGGGAGTTCGGATTTGAGGGGATACAAGGCTGAGGGTCAAGGGTGCACGAGAATGTAATTTTGGAGTATGAAAATAATGATTTAAAAGAAAAAGTTAAAGAATATATATTACAAGAGCAGTTATTAAATATCAGAAAAGTATTAATTTTGTTATCGGGCTCAGGTTTTAGAGTTGACATTGGGCCGGACTTGCAGGAAATAGCTTTCCGGTTAAAGAGGGCAAGGGCTATTACAAAACGCCTCTCTGTGCCGAAACCCTGTGCTGACGATGAACGCCACAGTTCATGATTCATGCCTGTAGCCGGGGAACGGCACTCGTAAAGATGTGAAGAGGCAGCAGTACCATGGAAGTCTCAGGCTTTCCAGCGCATCACGATGCGCCCCCGGATCCTGGTTAATGTGCGGGACGTGTGCTCAGATAAGAGGGAAAGCCGCAGCTCTATCGGAGCGTCAAGTTGTTGGGTTCAGGTTCGGTAGTAACGTCTAGGGTTTCACGGCCTCGAGTCCACACAGCAGGTTTTTCTTTGTTTGTTGGAGGCTTGCTCTTGCAGTTTCAGGATGCCGGGTGTCGAGGATCTTGGCGCATCGATGTTACGTACGGTGGCTTCATCTGATGCACAGTGACCGGAAAAGTGGAACAGGGTTGTCTGCTTATTCGTCAGCGCAGGCTTTCAACATGAGCAAAAGGGCGAAAGGAGCAACGCCCTCGAGCGGTTTGGTATTGGGCTGAAGCTTAACACCCCAGACTCCCGACCCTCAGCTTCACAGCGCTCCCTGCTGCCAAAGTTAAACCTTGATCCCGAGACCAGAAACCCAACTCCCTGAACCCGACCCCAAAGCCCTAAACTCCAAGCCCCAAGCCCTCAGACCAAACTAAACCCCTCAAGCCTCAATGCCCGGGCGCTGAGGAGATCGACATGACCACTCAGATCCTAGGCCGCTTGGCGCTTTGAGGTGTAGGCTTTGGGTTCGGGGGGCAGCGGTTTAGGGTTTCAGATAGGGTTGAGGGTGCTCAGTCAGAGTTGTGAGATGTAATATTTGGAATTTCGAGTTTATTCATGTTCGCGATCATAAGGCGCATTTGCGCATTCGAGGTTGAGGATTTGTAAGGTCAGCTCGGGAGCCCGGCTTGAGGGTTCAGGTTTGCCAGGGTGTTAAACTTAAAACACGCCACCGTGAATTGGGGGTGGTGGGTGGGTGGGTGGGGGGGGGGTGTTCGCAGCTTTTGTGGAGTTGTCCGAGGGGTCTCAAAGCCGCAAGGGTTCAGGACTCAGTGATTGATGGCCAGCGCAGGGTGTAGTGACAGGGCAGTGATTGGATTCAACTTGTGGGATGTAGGTGTGCACGGTGGTACTCTTGATGTGGTTCTGTTCTGCTTCGCCTCATGCAGAAACCGCCACCGTGGCAGTTCAGACTGCAATGCTCGGCCCAGTGCTCTACGTCATGCTAACACACACGAGTATGGGATCTCCCCCCTACCCCCGACCGACAGGCGTATGACAGTCCAAACCCTGAGCCGTGAACCGCAAGCCTTGCAATATTTGCACTATCTGCCCTACGGCGCTTGACAAAAGAGGCTACCGATGTCACATCCCATGTGGCCAAGCCTGCCATACAGGGTCCAGGGCAGAAGACCGATCATGATGACCTGCCACATAGATAGGATGCCCTTTCTTCCGAGGTGTCCCAGCGTCTGTGCCCCTGCAACTGGGTCTGCATCAAGTCGACAACCTTCGATACTACAACTCTTGACTTCGGGCTTCTGCCTTGGGGATGTCCTAGGCGCAGGTTTTGCAGCCACGTCCCAGCAGCTGCGAGCTCGGCCCCAACATCGGAAATCAGAAAGCCTCGGAAAACCCCTAAAGGCTTAAACTCTGAGCTGGAAGACTTTTGAGGGACCTGGATTCTGGGCTTGACTTGGAGATCAGAGATCCGCAAGATCTTAGAAGCCCGTGTAGTCTGATAGCGCCGATAGAAGTTTAAGTTTCTACAGACAACCTGAATCAGGATTAACTATTTAGGGTTTAGGGTTTAGGGTTTAGGGTTTAGGGATTGGAGGAGGTCTCAGAGTGCTCGGGATCTCGCAGACATGGGGTGAATCGCCGGTCTGGGCCTCCGAGTGTTTACGGCGGGTTCGCGGGTTTGGGAATCCTGTACCTGGGTGCGCTTCGGATTTATCGGGGCTCTGGGGATACTGGAGAACCTAGACAAGCTGCCGTAAGCCCGAAACTTACACCAGAGGCCCTGCAGAACCAAACCTCAAACCCTCCGAAGCCCTCAAAGGTACTTCACAGCCACGGCCCTGGCGAAGCTTGCTCACCAGGCCCCGGGGCCGTTTTCTGACCATTGCAAGGTGTTCGTGCTTGGGTCAATGAGGAGTCATATTGATCCAGGGTTTGGGGGCTGGAGGATTCTGGAAGCTTCAGGGCTTGAAGCCTTGAGGTTCGAATTCTGGCACTGGAAGCCTGTGCCTGGAAGAGCGCAGTCTTCAAGCCACGCAGCCCTTCTCATCCGTCAGGATGGAGAGGTGGCGATCGTGAAGGCTGGGACTTGGGGTTCTGGCTCGTTCCTGTAGAAGGGCGGGGAGTGCAACCCGATATCCGACTCTTCGTCCGCGCACAGGAGCAGCTAGGAAGCTCTTGGTTTTTCTGGTCGAAGTATTGGTCCAGAGCTGCCAACTTCCCAGTCAGGCGGCCAAGAAGGCTGGCGTGCCCTACATGCAGCTCGGCCGTTCAAACCGAGCCCAGAGCCCTCGCCAGCATATCAGGAGCCTCAAAATGTATGCTCCAAGCCCTTGGTCAAAAGTACCGGGGACGCTCCTCGCTCTTCAACCCCGACTGCCGTCAGAAACACGAACCTCAGCAAATGCACGGGTCAGAATGCCTGCCGAAGACTCGGGACGCATTGGACCCTAAACCCTCAACTCTGCTGAAAGCATTGTGAAGCTCCGGGCTGATTCCACCTACCCGTGCTCCGATTTCTCCAAAGCACCAAAACGGATTCGCTAAATCCGAAAGCTGATGCTTCCGGACTTCTCGTAAGGGCCAAACCGAATGAGCCCAATTCTCCAAGGCCTGGCTGCCTGTGTCACCCAAACAGCTGAACCCTCCCCCACACCTCCCAAGCCTAAACCTTTGACCTCAACTTACTCCCAGAAGATCACCAGCCCCAAGAGTCAAGCCCTTAAAACCTCTTCTTTTGACAACTCTGAGCTCCAAGAGCCCCTCGAGAGCCCCAGGCTTCCAACCCTGAGCTCCTACACTCTTGATGAGATGCTGGCGGCACGGACGGGGCTCTAAGATGAACTTACACAAATTGAGGTTTAGGGCTGAGGAGCTGGTGAGGGGAGTGGTTGAGCGTCATTGGTTTTGGGGCTCCAGGTTTGGGCTCGAGGATTAACGCTTTAGCTTGTGACACGGTGCACCCGGCTAGAGGAGAACTTCTGGCCACAACCCATTCAACTCAAAAATATTCAGTTGTTTCTGCTTATTTATGCACAAGCGGCTCGGGGTGTGGGCATCCCCGAAAGTGGATCATCTCTTTCATATTGGGCACAGGACCCCGGACCAGCAGGTGTTCTCCCAGCTGTACGTGAACCCAGAGCGCTCGAGGTGGGGACGGAGGGTTGCGGACACGTTGGTTGAAGCTCCGACCTTGCTGGCCATTCCTTTCAACAAGCCCTGCAACACAAGTTCTACACGCTTGTCAATCCTAAACCCTTTAGTGCTTTGGGAACGGAGCATCCTGCACCCTAAACTCCCCGGAGCTGTGATGTAAAGCCGTGCATGACGTCTCATCTTTGTCTCCAGAGGTCCGAGGAGTATGTCAAGAAGCTGGAGGACGCGGGTGTCAAGGTGCTCGCTTGAGCGCGAAAGTCCTCTGTTTGCTTAGAGCAAACCCTAAGATCGAAACAGTGGCTCTTCTTGCTACATCTTGCCTGGTTTGATCGTGCAGGCGCTTTCGCAGATTTTGTGGTCCTGTGGTCCAAGGCCCTTCCAGGAAACGCCCTCCCACTCTCCCCTCGTCCCTTCATGGACTCACCACCACCCCCCAAAACCAGAAACTGCAATCTCGGAAAAGCTGCAAGGCGCTCTTCGTCACCGTGGATGCACCCCAGCTCGGCCGCCGCGAGAAGGACATGAGGCCGGCCAGGAGTAGAGCGCGTTTTGCGGGTATTCTGGGTTAGTTCGTGAGGGTTTGGGGTGTTGTGTTGGGTTCGGAGGGTTTGTAGTGTCGAGCCTTTGGGGCCGAAGCAGGAACTGAAAGGTCCAAAGCTTTGCAGGTATGACACCCCAAGCCCAAGCCTCGATTTCGGAATGCACCAAATCTTCCGGAGGCCTCTTCAAGCCCCCAAAGCGTCGACGCCCCTGGACTCCTGAAGGTAGGGCTTCACCCTTTCGAGGACCCCTTGAAGCCCTGAGCCTTCTTTGGGGTTTAGGGCTTTGGGTTTAGGGGTTTAGGGTTTAGGCTTTAGGGTTTAGGGTTTAGGCTTTAGGGTTTAGGGTTTAGGGTTGCAGCTAAGCCAGACATGGCATGCAGGAACAAGTTCACCCAGCAGGGCTCGGATGTCCAGGGCGACGATGAGGACGACGGTGCTCCGCTGCTTTGAAAGCTCGAGATAATGCCTGGCCCTAGTAGCAACAAGGACATCAATTAAACATGAACACACCATCGTCCTGATCACGGCCATAATCATCCTCATGATCATGGTAGTGGTGACGATGTGGTTCATGATCGTGAGCATTGTAGGAATAAGAAGAGTCGTCATCACCATTGCCATCAGTCAGTTTTAGTCATGGTCCTGCTCCTAGTGACTGCTGGCCCAATTCGAGGCTTCAGGTACCCCTTGTTGCAACAACCTTTGTAACCCGGGGCTTAAGCCCAGGGCTCAGATACCCACTGACTCTCGCCCCCAACACTGGCGCCGGAGCTTGGAAAATCCCGGAGCCAAAACATCATGCGCATACCCATAAGGTGCAGAAGAATCCACAGGTCTGTTGCAAGAAGACTGAGAAACCTTGAGCAACCGCAAGAGCACAACTTTGTACTGTCCATCATCGTAATCCTCTCGTCGAAGTGTAGATCCTGACCGCCGATAAATCTTGAGCGCTGAAATGGACGTTTCAGAACAGAAAGGTCCCGAATGTAGGGTCCGATTTGTACGAACCTTAACATAAGGACCCTTACATATATTGCTAAAGCCAATTCCAGAGCAGGTGCTGTGGACCGTTCCCAGGGTGCTACCCGCGCCATCAGCAGCAACTCTGCGCAACTGTGAGTGTTGGGCTTCGCCGTTTATTGGGCCTTCGGGGTGCATGGTGATTCAGATCGCTCTGCGTGGAGCATCGGGGTTGAGGGATTTAGGCCCTGAGAGTTCGAAGCCTGAGCCCCAGGCTACATCGACCCTGGCCTCAACTGGGAGGAGCTGCAGCTTACGCCGTCAGATCGGCAGCTTTTGATAGGGTCCTCGAAGGTTCAGGAGGGCTTCGGTTTGGATTTTTCAGTAGCACGTAGTCCAAAAAATCGCGAGGGGGTGTAGTCTTGGGCCGGGCGCAGTGGGTGTTAGGGCTTGGGGTTGAGGCAGCCCGGGGCCCGAGCCCTGAAAGCTGATGCCAGGACGTGCCGTGGCTCAAGAGCATCACGAAGATGAAGGTCGGACATGCAATGTAGTAAGTAGCAGTGTTCAGAGTTGGGTTTGAACATTGTGGGTTTCGGATTCCCGAACGTGAGCTTAGGTCCAAACTATGCGGCATTTCGGGTGTCTTGCAAATCCTTCCATGGGAAAGTGGCTCATGTTGGTCTTTATTTTTGTGTTCATGTGGATCTTTTCTCATGATGACTCTGGTCTGTTTGTCTGTGCCACAATAGTACGTGTACTGCTAGTAGTAGTGGTAGTAGTCATGGTAGTGGTAGTGGTGGTGGTAGTAGTAGTAGTAGTAGTAGTAGCAGTAGCAGTAGCAGTAGCAGTAGCAGTAGCTGTAGCTAGCAGTAGCAGTAGCAGTAGCAGTAGCAGTAGCAGTAGCAGTAGCAGTAGCAGTAGCAGTAGTAGTGCTTGACGCAAAGCAAGACTCTGCAAATGGTAATTCCCCAAATGCGTGACGCAAGACAAAAGCCTCGAGAAACTGCATTCGCCCAATATCTTGGGGCAAAACAATACCCTACAAGTTGGAACTCCCCAATAGGTTGACGCCAAACTCTGGCAGATTGTAATTCCTCAACAGCTTGAAGCAAAGCAAGACCTTGCAAATTGCAATTCCCGAATGGCCTAACACAAGACAGGAGCCTTGAAATTGCACCCCAATAGGTTGACACAGCGCAAAACCCTGCAAATTGTAATTCCTCAGTAACCACAATTCCCCAATAAAAGGAGCCTCAAAATTGCACTCCCCCAAAAGCGTGGCGCAAAATGGGACTCTGCTATCTGTGTTTCCCCAATAGCTTGACACAAAACAGTAGCAAATGCTGCAAGTTACGGTTTGCAACCAAAACAGAGAGCCAACGTTGAAGCGATAGGAATCCAAAATCTCCGACCCGAAAAAGAAACGCAGTACGTGTAGGACTGTCCAAAACAGAAGAAAGGACATAGATGAACAGAACGGAAAAAGACACAGGTTAACCAAATCCATGTGTAGGCGATCAAGAAAAGGGGGCAAAAGATGTACATGAAGAGGAAAATCAGCAAGGGAAGCGCAGAGGAAAATACCAGAATCAACACCGAAAAAAGACACAGATCAACAGAGACGAAAGGGCACAGGCCAGCACGAAAACCAGCACGAAAAAACAAAACAAGTTAACATTCGCTCCCTTCCATGCGCATCCCTAAATCCTAGATCCTACACACTTACATTCAGCAGCTCGTGTCTGCTGCAACTGGCACCAGGCCTTCCGACCCCTTGGGCACCTCCACACTGAGTGGTTCTAAAGCTGCAGACCCAAAGCCCGGCGGCTTTGTTGGCACATTCTCCCCACCAAAACGACTCGCGCAGTCCTGGCTCTTTCCCGAGCTGGGACGAGCCGTCAATGAATCCTGGTGATGCCGGTGCCTCTCCGACGAATCTCGTCGTCTCCTGGCTCCAGCCTCATTTCCTTGCTCTTGCCCAACGACTTCCCGCGTTTCACCTTGACAACCTGTTCTGTGGCTTTTGTAAGGTCCCCTTTTTGGGCCCAAAACGACCATCTGCTTTTTCGCTCGTCCGATATGAGGCCATGCCGATCGGCAGCGACGACAGCCTCACAAAAACTCCCACATGCTCCTATTGTGTGCAGTTTGTGTCATGCCCGCCGACAGAATTCCTTCACCCCAAGACCATATTGATCCAAGACAGCCTGACCAAAACCCAACATTACTGTCGAGGTTCATCCGCCATGACTTGTGTTCTGTGGAAGGCCCTCGCTAATTCTCCAGCTGGGACGCCAAGAGATCTTTACAAACTGAATCATAAGATGTCTGAACTGAGGTGGTCTTCCACAAAGTATGACGTAAACACATCCTGAACTGTGAATTCTTACAGACAGTCAAACGCCGGCAGCGCTTGTGGAAAAGGTGCTGCTGAAGGGCGTGCAGTGCGCCGAGGATGCCGTGTCCGCTTACAAGGCAGATTCGGGTCTTCGAGACTATTCTACAGATTGCAGCAATGCAGGAACAAGTACATGGTACCATGATTCCTTCATGCCCGCTGCATCATCTTCAAGTCGTTAGCCCAGTCCAGCTCTCAAAGCCCACCTCAATCGCTAAACCTTCAACCTAAACCCCAAAATCCTTAAGCCCAAGCCCTAAGCCCTCATTCCTAGTCCTATCTCATGGCAAGGCTGGTTTGTCAGGCTGCGTGTTGTCCAACCACGGCGGCAGGCGAGCTTCTACTTATGGTGATTCTGTTGCAATAATATCAAAGTCATGGTTGTTGCTGTCCTATTGACTTATGACTGCTTGTATTGGCATTGAGACTAGGGTCAGTATGCAGAAACTGATGATGATGATGATGATGCTGGTGGTGGTGGTGATGATGATGCTGGTGGTGGTGATGGTGGTGATGATGATGACGACGGTGACGGCTGGTCATCAACACTGTCTACAATGTAGCTGTAGCGATGGGACTCCTCAGAACGAAAATTGCTAGCATTGCTGCTATCATTAGTCTGGTTGAGGGTTTTGTGTACTTCGACGAAGAAATATTCGGGACCCCGATTTGCGTTATTTTTTAGATTGTTCGTCAACCCTAGTACGTTGATCAGTCTGAAGACAGATTGGAGGTTCGCGGGCCTGGGGTGTCGGGTCAAGGGTCTGGGATTGAGGGTTTCCGGTATTGGGCATGGGGTTTCTAGTCTGGGTTCAGGATTCCGGTGTTCATGTTTCGACACGAGGAATCTAAGGCTCAACTGTACGGCCGCAAAAAAGTGTTTCCTTTGCGAGCAGACTCTGACGTGAGTTTTGCACATCTCCAATTCGGAGAGGCGTCTTCTTGACCCGTCGGATGTTGTACAGGTGATGTGCTTGAGTACGTATTTGTGTTAACCGCCATTGATTTTGTGGCAGACAGTTGTTGGCGTAAGCTTCCGCAGTACCTGTGCCAAGGTGAGATGCTTTGCAAAGGAACGGCTCCGTAATGGACAGAATCATAGTGATGCCATTCATGGTGTGGGAATATCGCCCCACACCCCAAGCCCTTGCAACAGACCCGTCAGAAGACTCTGACAACACGCAAGACACCGCGGGGCGGGGCTGGGTTATCCAGGCATTCAGGAGTTGGGTTTGTGGGGGGCGTAGTTTGTTTTGACAAGGCCGTCGTAGAGTTCAAGTGGAGGTTGTAGTTGTTTGGCT